TATGATTATATTTTAAATAGACATCCATATGGCTTTTAACTAATTTTATTGTTTGTGCGTATAAATTTTTTTTAATGTTTTATTTTTTTGTTTTTTATTTTTATACAGCATAGCTGTATAAAAATAAAAAAACAAAAGTGGGGTAATCCAAAAACTGTTGTAATAACAAAAAAAATATATTAATTTTAATAAAGTGCAAAATCACAGATAAAGTCTTGGTGTATGTTCCCTCACTTGGGGTATGCTCCCTCACTTGGGGTATGCTCACTCACTTGGGATATGCTCACTCACTTGGGATATGCTCACAGATAAAATCAAAAAAATGAATTTTTCATCGCAACAATAGTCTTTTAAAATTAATCTTTAATTTTCTAACTATTAAAATTGTTAAAAGTTATTAACAAATATCGCAAATAAAACCCCGGGACATGCTTTCACCAATAGTATATTATAGCAAGGAATTATTATAGCGTAGCTACGCTATAATAACTCTTTGGTTATGGTATATAAATACAAAAAGTGGTAATTTGTTCAAATAATTTAAAACTTTGGCGTTGGGTTCATCAGATCTATTCATAGTGCAACTATTTTAGCCACTTTATCTTTTGTCGGTGAATTGACATTTTATTATTATGTGTTTAAAATAGATTTGAAATTATTATCAGAGTCGGGTTAGCCATTTGGTAGGCTTAAGCAAAACATAATCTTAAATGTTGTAGGTTAACACCAAAGATGTCTTTAACCCAAACGCCTTTTTCAAAAACTTCCCGTCGAATTAGGAGTAGTTTATTGCTAAAAATTATTACAACTTAATAATAGTATTTGTGTTGAATATAGATAAATTTCGTGTTTCGCAGGCCCTCTTTTCTTCGTAGGCCTGGAGCAAATTCCCCATCTGTACCCTGGTTAATCAGGCCTGCTTATTACAATTAAAAGTGACAACTTGCCTCCTTGTTAAATCAATTTTGAAATTTCTTTTATTACCGCTTCGGATGACTTTCAATTAGATGGATATTACGCGTAAAGTTCAGCTCAAACTGGATGATTATGCGCTTTGTCTAAATTGAAACCACAAACTTGTTCAAATTTGAGTTGAATGACAGACGTAATTCGCATAGACAAAGACGTATATATATAACTAGATGCGTGACTCGCATAAAGCTGCGAGTCGCACATCTAGTTATATTTATACGTCATTGCTTCATATGAATTGAATTCTTTGTTCAATTCGATCGTTTTATTTTTATTTTGTTGTTCCATGATTAAACAAATTAATAAAATTAAAGTAAAACTTTGACATTAATATGTTAAATATTATTCAAATAATCGACTATTAATTACGTTTCAAAAATTAAATTTTTACATGCACTTAAATAGTGATTCGCTTCATAAACTTTTTATTGTTTGGAAAAATGAGGAATGCAAAACTTTCTGCATAGCCGTCGTAGCAATAATCTTAATCAATAATTCATACAAGTTGAAAAACTAAAAATCTCTAATCCAAAATATTTCCAAAATATTTTTAAGTGTATAAAACAGGGTTTAAATTAAAAAAACTTATTATTTTAAACAATAAAAAAGATGAAGCCCATCATGGACCTTTGCATCAATATTATCGTCAACTATTACCACTGGCAAAATCGTATAAAAAATCACTTATGATCCAAATAATTACCGCGGTATCAGCATTATTCCAATATTTACAAATCTGTCCATATATAAATATCATGCTCATCTGTCCGGATAAAAAAGAAACTCATCCACTTCAATTTAATTAATAAGAGTTCAATCATGCATGCTGAATTGAGTTGACAATTAAATACTAGAACAATAACAACTCGTCTTGTTTGACGCTGAAAACAATAACAACTCGTCATGTTTGACGCTGAAAAAGCATTTGACAGCTATAATTGTGATATTCTCTTTGATAAACTTTACTTTGATTAAAACCTCTCCAAATAGTCAACATAAAGTTTTCTTTCTTTCTTTTTTTTTTTTTTTTAATATATATTTGCTGTTTATATAATAAGAAATATAATTACAAAGAAATGTTTACATACAAAAAAATTGGGTTTATAAAAAAACAGGCAGGGGCTCTAAGAAGATACGGATGACTAAAATCACCACAATCTTTTCATAGAGCCCCTAGGTGGGTTTTGCAAGTAATATAATAAAAATATAATAAAAAGGTTAAGTATAATAAAAAGGTTATAGCTTGCATAAATATTTCCATTAAATCAAGAAAGTAAGTAATATCATATAGTTTTATCAATATTCATTAAATACTGGCAACTCTGTTAAATATCAAAATAAGAGCCAATTAACAAGTAAAAAAACTAAGAATAATGGAACTTGATTTTCATTTCGAAAAACCAAGAAAACAATTTATATAATTTAAAAAATTCATTTTTCATTATAAACTTAAAGGAGTTTAATGGTTTTACAGTGTTTAAATTTGTTTTTTGAAAAGTGTTCCATAGTTTTAGTCCGCGGTATAATATTCCATATTTAGAATACTTACTATTAATTCTTATTAATATTGGGAGTTTATATCATAACAATAACGCAACTGTCTTATACCTTGGTTACCTTGGTTACCTTGGTTACCTTGGTTCTAAATAAGTTTCATCAATCAAGCTTGGTTCTCCACCTTTATGTTTATAAAGGTGGAGAACCAAGCTTGAAACACACTGCAAACTACTCAAGGTTGGTTCTACTATATGTGGAAACTTTATTGGTGTTGTAGCTTGTACAAATTACATAGTTCGTCTCAGCTGTACTCTATACTAGAATGACTTGTAAAAGATAAAAAAATTGAACTGCGTAGATCTTTATGCAAACTTGGAAGCAATTCAATTAAGTCATTTTTTAATGTTTCCAAGTAAAGTCAAAACTATATATACTCTCTATTTAATATTCGGGAGATGTCAACTTGTATACAGCAAAACAAAATAAATATATTTATCCAAATTTACACAATAAAGTATTGTTTGAAATGATCGGTTCCCAGCTTCATTACTGTTCATTTAAACACACCTTTTGAGGATATAAAAAAATTAACATAGACTGAATATAAAAAAACAAAGTTTTTTTATATTCAGTCTATGAACTTTGGCTAAGAAGAAAATAAAAATGGGTTATTCAGAAAATGTAACTTTTAAATATACTTTTCAAATGTTGGTACAAGAAGTTCAATGTTAAATGCAAAGCATCAGAGAACAATTTTCAAAAACGCTCTTAAAGAAAATATTCTTAAATGATCTTCTTATACTTTATTTTTTTATCCTTTTATCTTCTTGATTCTTTTAAATAAACTGGTATAAAATGATTTTATAGATATTATGAAAAAAAGTAATTATCAAAAGGTACATACTTAGTACTGTGAAATAATAAAAGACACATCTTAAATAATTGTTTACTTTACAAGACTCATAAAATAAAAATCAATGCAATGACGCAAGTTTATTTAAACTCGTAATTTCTTATTTTTTACACTTAAAAAAAAAAGTGTAAAACAAGTCATTTTTTAAATAGTGTATTGAAATTTTCTTGAGTTTTGAAACATTTTTTAAAATTCTGGATACATGGAATTTAGAGATTTGCCAACTTTATTACAAACTTATTATTATTAAAAACTTATTTTTGTTTTGAGAGTAAAAATTCTCAAAACCATTTTAAGACTAAATTAAAAACTTTATTTATTACAGATTACTTTACATACAATAATCAGTTTAATCAGACAAATTAATTAAAACCAAGATACAGTTTATCTCTCAACTCTGGGTCTGGATACTTGAGGTCTTTGAATCTTGGGTCTGATGCGGTTGCAATCTTTAGATATGCAATGTTTGCATTTTCCTTGCGTGTCTCTATGTCTCTTCTGAATATAAACTTGAGTTAAACTACATCGGCAGGGTCATCATCTGAGCTCTCCATCAAACGAGAGAGATGGCAAAAAACAGATAAAATCACAGACCATGAAAAGTTTTTTTCTCCACCCAGAAGTTCAGTCACATACCTGCAACAAATCAAACTCATTTCACTCAAATGTTTTGAATTCACTTATACACACAAAAAATGTTTTCATATTTATGCTTATACACACACACACACACACACACACACACACACACACACACACACACAAACACAAACACACACACACACACTCTCACGTACAATCAAACCAGTCGGCGAGAAATATATGACGTAAAATATACCTGCAGGGCTTCAGTAGCTTTTCCAAACTTTGTAATTTGACCATTTCAGCTATCGTCGGCATAGCAACCTTTGTGTTTTGTGTGGTGAGGACATCGCTCAGTACCTGTTCGTTTCTGCGAACGCGCTGTTTTGCATAGATACTGTAACAGAACGCTGGAACGCATTCAAAAGGTATATATCTTGTATCAGCTACAATATTTCTTTCACTATCTTTGCTAAGTGTGCTGAAATTATTTGAAATCCCTCACTGCTGTGCAACGTGAATAAAATTTTCTGCTCACATTTTAGCAAAAAGTCTGTTTTGGATCTCCATTTCTTTCAGAGCATGTGAAAGCAGTTTTCATCGTTCATCAATGTAATGCACAGTAACTTCAAGATAATTATGGTTACCCAGCGATGTCCAGTAGTCTCCAGTGAAGGCAACATTTAGTGCATGTTAGAACGTCTTTACCTATATAGTTCTCTTCTTTTCATACAATTCATGTATTTTCCATGCGATGGCGCGTCTTATCGGAGGCTCATACGAGCAACCATTCGCTCCGATCCTGATAACACTCTTCTTTTAAACCAACGTCTTCCAAAACACTAACAGGTCGGCAGTTTGTAGCTAGCCATTTTCCAATGGAATTTGTTATTTTGCCTTTCTCTTGTTTTTCTAAAGTTCTCCCACATAGTTTAAAATAAACATGTCCGTTTAAGATTTTGGTACCTTTTTCCATTTTTATAAAATTTCTCTTACAACACAAATCTTCATCAAATTTATTTGTTTATTGTCGTTT